AGCCAGCGGTACACATGTAAAATCATTCCTTTGTGTGTGCGAGATCTGTCACTTTCCAAGCCACTGAACTTTCTCCAGGGGAGTGTGTGTGTGTCCTTGGCGGGTTCGTGTGTGCGAGTCTGGGGGATCAGCGCGTGTGACGTCCGCAGTGTACTCGCGCTGGCCTTTTCTGTCAGAAGGGCTTTACAGGGTGTCGGCCCGTGTTTGGGGTGTTTTTTGCGTCCGTCTGTCTTTGTGCGCCCGGATTGTCTCCCTGTAACTGCTGGTGCGTGTCGGGGTGTGTATTTGGGGCAGCGGCGTTTGGATGCGCACCTGTGAGGTAGTTGCCGTATTGACGTGTGAGACGGTGAGTTTGTTGACATGCTGGTGAATTTGCTCTAGTGTGTCTGTGTTGGCGCGCGTGCGATGGTCGTGCATGTGGCGTACTGGTGAGTCTGGGTGTGACAGTGGTGGGGGGGGTGAGTTTGTGGCGCACGACACCGCACGGCCATTGGAGTGGTGTGTGCGTTTGCAGGGGAGCCGCTGGGGGTGAGTGCGTTGTCCGGGGATTTTGTAGATCTGGGTGTCCAGTCGGGCCCTGGGATTGTGGGACGCAGTGGGACATGGTCCACCCCACGTGGGCAGTCCTCAGCCACAAAACAGCCCCGCCCCCGGTGTCTGTAACGCAGCCGGGGACACAGGGAGTCAGAATACGTCTTCCCTGAAGTTAGGGGAATTTTTGCCTCATAATTTGCTGACTGTCTGAGTTACTCATCTCGAATGAGTGGAAATGCTCTGGGGGGAACTCTGCGATTTCGGCCAGTTCGTGGGCTGTGACGTGTTAGTGATTGATTTTTGCATATTTCCAGGGGTCCAGTGGCTCGGTGGCTGGTATTGTTTTGTTTTGGTTTGGGCAGCCCATGTTGCTGAGGCTCTGATCCGGGCGGGGAGTTTCTAGTTGCTTCATAAAAGTACCGTGACTAATAGACTTTTAAGGCCAGATAATCCCATCTGACCTCCTGCCTTGACCAGGCCGAAGGACCTTGCCGTTCCAGGCACCCAGCCCATATCATGTGGTCGAGCTAGAACTAAGATCTCGACTGGACAGGAACTCAGCTCACGCTCCAGGGCCACCTAGTGTCCTGTCTCTGACAGGGACCAGCACCAGATGTTTTAGAGGAGGATGTAAGAACCCGCCTGTTAGCCCACACACCCCTGAGTGATGCAGTTAGAGAACCTAGTGTAGACAGCGCTGTGTGGCGGGAGTGCTTCTCCAAGCAGCTCAGCTCCCGCCTCTCGCGGAGGTGAATTCACCGTGCCGATCTCCCGCTGGGGTAGTAGCGTCTTCGCTACGCACCGCAGCTGCACCGGCGCAGCAAGGGACGTGGAGACAGGCCCGGGGTCTCCCCCTCCCAGCTGTGTAAATGGCCGTCTGAGTCCTGAGCCAGTTTCTTACCTCTCTCTGCCCTCCCGGTGCCTCCTGGGATGTCCGCACTGCTTGGGAACCCGGCTCCGTGGATTCGGTGCTTCCCCACTGCATCGCCAGCCTGGGTTAACACTCGCTGGCCCCGGGGCTCCCAGCCGCGCCGCTGCGTCCACGCCTCTGTCTCGGGTCTGCGCCCACATTCCAAAACGCCGGGGCTGGGACCTAAATCAGAGTGGGACTTGGTTCTGACCCCCCCTCCCCTGCTCCAGCCGGTCCTAGGACCCGGGTCCTGAGCACTTGCTGACCTGAGCCAGCCTGATTTGTGCGTGGATGGAAGTGGGGCTTGGCTCAAGCCTGAATCAGAGCCCAGCCTTTAGTGTGCAGGGTAGACGTACCTAAGAACCCCAGTCATGGGCCAGGGCCCCCGGTGCTAGGTGCTGTACATTATTTAGGTCTATTACGGTAGCACCCAGGAGCCCCATACATGGGCCAGGGCCTCATGGCGCTTGGCGTGGGCTGGCAGATCTCTGGGAAAAGGCCGCGCTGGCCCCGGAGATATTTGACATGATGGTTTAAAGAACCAGCCCCTCTTGTTAGCTTGAAATGAAACCCTCGGCCCTATAGCCTTTTGCTTGTGAGCTGCCTGGGGTCAGCGGGGCCCTGACCTGCTCCAGCGAGCCGAATGCGAACTAGACATTATGCACCGGAGCAGCCCCCTCTGGGGAACCGGAGTGAGCGGCCTGCCAAGGGGAGCGGGGGGCACAAAACCTAACTGGCTTCACGACGGAGCTTGCTAAGTCTGTAGAGGGGACGGTCTGATGGGACTGCCCACAATGGCACGCAGCCGATCTGCGGCTACTAGCAAATATCTCCACCGGCGGGGACGGGACACGACACTGGCTGGGGAGGGCTCTGAGTTACGACAGAGAATTCTTTCCTGCGTGTCTGGCTGGTGGGTCTCACCCACATGCTCAGGGTCTAACTGATCACCAGATTTGGGGTCAGGAAGGAATTTCCGCCCCGGTCAGATTGGCAGAGACCCTGGGTGGTTTTCGCCTTCCTCTGCAGTGTGGGGCACTTGCAGGTTTCAACTAGTGTCAATGGTGGATTCTCTGTAACTTGGAGTTTTGAAACCAGGATCCAAGGACGTCAGTGACGGGGTCTGTCACGGGCGTGTGGGGGCGGGGTTCTGGACATGCAGGAGGCCAGACTAGGGTCTCTGGGTCTGAGCT